CCGTCGTCGAGGTGCCCGCCGCGGACCACGCCGCCGGCGGGCCGCGAGGTGGGAGGCCGGGCTTGCATGCGCTTGGCGTGCACCGAGGACTCGAAGACGTAGCGGAGCGGGTCCGTGTCGCGCCGGCCGCCGGCCGCGCCGAGTCGCTCTTCGCCGTCGTCGAGGTGCCCGCCGCGGACCACGCCGCCGGCGGGCCACCGCCGCCCCCCGGGGCGACGACGACCGCGCCCCGGGGGGTGACGCCCCCCCCGGGGGCGGACGGGCGCGATCGCGGTCGTGGGGAACGTTTTCTTTTGGGATGGCGTGGGCGGAGCGAAAAGGGGTCGTAAAAGCGGGGCTTGGGGGGGACTTGTAGGGACGCCGGGAGGCTACGAGAGAGGTACGAGGTGTGAGTATGAGGTGTGGCGAGTGTGCGGTGAGCGTGGAAGGTCGGGTTGAGCGAGGCCGCGGAGGTTGCCTGCTTTTGGCTGACTCGCCGTCATCCACCGAGGCTGATTCGGCGGGGTCCGACGCAACGATAAGTAACCCGTTTTTGAGTCGTCGGCGATTGTAAGTCGTAGGGTAAGTCGTCGGGCCCCGGGGTAAGTCGTTGGGCTCGCCAAAACGGAACGCCGCGCGCGCGCCGCCCGCGCCGCGTCTGAATCGATGCCACGTCGTCGTTTTGAGTCGTCTCTTCTCGTTCTTTCGACGGATCGGAGCCCCCGGGGGGCAGGGGCGACTCGCCGCACAAAAAGACACAGGAACCCCGACCGTCTACGGTGGCATTAGGCGACCTAGCCCGCCTACGCGCAGCCTTGGGCTGGCGGGGCATTGGGGGGGGGGCTAAAGCCGCACCGGACCTCGGGGAGACTCCTCGGAGGGAGCGGGATCGTCCCTGTTGCAGGGGCCCAGTCGTCCCTGCGCGCGGAGCTTGGCTCCTCACATTATTCTTCAGGGCAGGGTCCTTGACGAACCTTGGTACGGAAGCGCTGTTTGACCCGGCCGGAAGAACTACGACACTAGAAAGTGTACTTCCACGACTTGATGTCAGTCGCAAAGCGCGTGGCAACCAGATGCCTCAGTTCTGATGTATAAAATTTCCGGCGCCGTTCGGCCGCCGAAGACACATTGAGCATTTCAACGTAGGGACCGTTTTTTGCAACAGCTTGATTCTGCGCAAGCATGGGTCGTAGAGATGTGCTTCGCAAGGGGCGGCTTGTCAAAGCCAAGGCGCACACTGACTTCTGAGAGAGTAGACTCGAATCCGTGTTCGATGCGCGCTACGACGTCGTAAGGCAATCTTTCTGGCCTGCACGCTCGCTCTCGGGCATGAAATGAATGTTTGGTTTGTGTTGCCGGGACATGAATCGGATAAACTGTTGGAACTGGACCTCACAGGCTCGCTTAATGCCATAGGCTGCCGCGATCCCTCCCGCGCCACCACCGCCGTCAGGATGGACCACCACCTTTCCGATGAAAGCAGAAATCAGTCGATCCCAAGGATTGCGCACGGTGGTTAGCGCGACGAACGGCCTGCTGCACAGGAACTTTCGATCGCTCGCGCTGATTGGCGATGACAGATGTCTGTCCACCGCGAACGAGGATCGTCCCTTGTACGTCGTATTTGCCAAGAAATGCCGGTTGATCATTGAATCGATTGTTGTCGAGCCAGCCTTGGCGGTCGGGCAAAAAAAGAGCGAGGGTCCCCGTTTTGACGGACGAGTGACTCTCATGTCATGTACGTCCAAGAAGCGCCGACAGAGATCCGGACGCGCCTCTTGGGCACCTTCGAAAGCAAATGCCACTGCGAGTACCCACAAAGGCTTGATGATGACGTGCATGGTCGAGATTGCGGGTGCCTGCGGGGGAATCGACGCGGTTCCGCGGCGACGATCGACGGACGAGGCGCGCGAATCAGGGGTTGAAGACCTTTCAGGCACGTCCGCCGACGGCCGGGAGCCGGCCGCCGGACGCGCCGCCGGCCGCGCCGAGTCGCTCTTCGCCGTCGTCGAGGTGCCCGCCGCGGACCACGCCGCCGGCGGGCCGCGAGGTGGGAGGCCGGGCTTGCATGCGCTTGGCGTGCACCGAGGACTCGAAGACGAAGCGGAGCGGGTCCCGGCGCGCCGGCCGCCGGACGCGCCGAGTCGCTCTTCGCCGGCGTCGAGGTGCCCGCCGCGGACCACGCCGCCGGCGGGCCGCGAGGTGGGAGGCCGGGCTTGCATGCGCTTGGCGTGCACCGAGGACTCGAAGACGTAGCGGAGCGGGTCCGTGTCGCGCCGGCCGCCGGCCGCGCCGAGTCGCTCTTCGCCGTCGTCGAGGTGCCCGCCGCGGACCACGCCGCCGGCGGGCCGCGAGGTGGGAGGCCGGGCTTGCATGCGCTTGGCGTGCACCGAGGACTCGAAGACGTAGCGGA